AAAATTAATAATACATTTTTAGATACTCTAACAATATCTATTGAAATACCTTATAGTATCTGAGAACCAAACCATTATAAAAAATCATGTTGCTTTTTTCAATTTTTTTCCAGAATGGTAAATGAAAGTTAGACAACTTAACAAAAAAAATTAAAGTAAATATATTATCAATAATTTATGTATTGAACAATATACATAAAATACATAATTTACAAAAACGAAACGACATTATGGAACAAATATTGTATGCATGCAGTTTTAAATAGAAAGCAGAGTATAAAATTATTTAGATTATTCATATATTTTACATTATGGAGACAACCAACTAGCTAATAAACTACCTAAGAGTAATTGTGCAACTGGTAATACAGATAATGGTAAATTCACTGCTGGACCATGAGCTGAACCATGGTAAGCACCACGTAAAACCCAGCTGCCAAGACCAACTGATTTGTGAGTACTTGTAAAAAGTGCAGCTAGCAAGATATTCCGAGGTAACCACCGAGAGCACAAAATCCAACACAAGCAGCTAACAAACAGTTGTCCCACGCAAGCTTGAACATAAAAAAATACTAATACCACAGTGAAATAACAAAAAAACATGCTATATTCTATGCTTAATTCTGGTTAATGATACTTTGACACATTTAACATACATGCAATAATATTATACAATAGTTATGACAACAGTTGCTATTGAACATTTATCTGGTTACATAAATATCAATTTTAATACAATTACTGATAAACTTACCAAGTAATACACATAATAACACATCTGTGGCTTGCAAGGATGATGCATCTACTAACACAGCATCACAAAACCAGTGATATGCTGTTGCTAATAGTAGTCCTTGAGAAAACCATGGTGATTTAATTTTAGGACAAAAATCATACTTTAAAATAATGCTTTGAATTGCAATACCAGCAGCTAGTGGTACAATTGTACTATAAATGGTTTCTTTAACATTTACCCCAACCAGAGGAGGTGTAGATGCCCCTAACTGAACATACTTAAATTGTTATAGAATGAAAAACGTATAGTTATTTTAATTTTAATAATGAATAAATAGCATGTAATTTACCACAAAGTATAGTAATATAGGGGATATAAATAATCCTCCAAAATGGGACACCAAAGTTATCACAATACTTGTTGACAAATCTGCCTGTGCCAATCTGCACAGAACAAAACTTGTATTAAATGGAGGTGGCATGCAGTAAAGTACCTAAAACCAGAAAGTTATATATGTTTATCACTACTTATATTTGATTTATAGTTGTATTAAAAATATTTTCATTTTCATTTATTTACTTCCATTCCTTTTAATAGCCATACATTGACATTGGCATAAGTTAGCAAACATACTCCAACCCTCATCAAAAAGGGCATTAAAACATATATAAAAATCATTGTAAATACTAAGAGAGAGCCATTGCTCAATGTTAAATAAAGTGTTTTAGGATCACAGAGTAGGCCTGCCTCTAAATATGTTAAAGGAACAGCAAAATATCGGATAATAACATTTCCATTAAGAATACCTACAATATATAATACAAAAATAGTAAAGGACAAATATACATATAAGTAGAAAGATAATTATTTCATTATAGATACCGTTTGTTTTACCAAAATGTGGTTTTATAGAGGCAAGTATCATACATAAAAGCATTGATAAAAAATATCCATATCTGTATAAAAGATCACTTTGCTTTTTTTTTGGTTGACCCTCTTGTATGCAATTTTGCTGCATTTTTGTTTAATTTTACGTGTGCCTGTAATAATTTAAGTATTTTAATATGTGTTCATTTTTAAAGTATTACTTTATTATGGTAATGAAAGCAAATGAAATATGATTTTTACAATGAAAAAGTGTCATTTACAATAAAGGGGATCCAAACCATTTTTGTAAAAATTAGAGTACATCTGCCTAAGAGCAAGTTCAGCCTGTGTAGCATTTTTTCTGGATCTTCTTTGAGAAAATTTCATGCACTGTCTCCTTTAAAAGATTTTGTGCGTGTACGCTTGAATAAAATACTATGTATACTATAATCTTATTTAAACATGCTTGAAACATAATTAAATAAAGCAAGCATATCTTATTGTCTATATTACTATATTATATCTATTAGATATAGTGTCTAGACTCATTCTCTTATAAGCTATTCTATCCTATGTTATTTTACAATTAAATTCTCTATAAGAATTTTTGTTTAATAGCTTAAATTTAAAAATAAATAAAAAAAAGTGGATGCATCTAAACTGAAGCAACACTTGTAAAATTTATAATAAAATAAGATGCAACAACGTTTTTGTAATAGATTTATATATTATGCTTAAAATTTATATCATTCATCTTTCTGTATTTTTTGTGATATTTATGCTGCATGAAATAATAATGCCTTGTGCCAAACAAATTCAATTTTATGCGTTAAAATATAATTATATATGTATTTACACGTTGTCACGTTGATAGATGTTTAAACACAAAAATTGTACACGAAAGAATTAAAAATTATTACATGACTGTAAGAAACAAATTCAAAATTTGGACTAATTTTTCTGAAATATTTCAAAAAAAACATTAATGACAAACAATTTTATGTAATATTTAGTTATTCAAAACATTTAACGTTTGACGTTAAACTGTTTGGGCAGGAAATATGTTGCTTCTTACTGCATCCTATCAAAATACTATTATGCATTTATACATATATACAACCAAAAGCGAGATGCAAAAGTATTGAGAAAACCTGTTTCGTTTTCTCACGCATGCGTGGTTAAAGTAATATTATCGACGCTGCAATCTAATTTTTATTAAAAAAATCATAAGCTATAGAATGTATGCTGCTTTCAATATTAACA